GAAGGAAGGAAGGAAGGAAGGAAGGAAGGAAGGAAGGAAGGAAGGAAAGAAAGAAAGAAAGAAAGAAAGAAAGAAAGAAAGAAAGAAAGAAAAAGAGATTGGCCAGTCACCCAAATGGCTTTTGTGCCTAAGGCAGGACTAGAACTTGAGCCTTTATACTCCTACTCTAGCTGTTTAAGTGCTGGACCAAATTGGTCCTCTCCTGGATATTTTAGTCTCTGTTTCTTTAACCCAGAAACAATTTCTGCTCTTGCTTTTTCCAGTTTGGGAGACAAGTGAGAGTAATAAAGCAGTCAAAGATCTCACTTGATGCCGCCTTGCACCACCCGGTTTTTGCAGTTCCTCCAACAGGTGCAGGCCTGGTTACATTCAAAGATCAAAGGGGGTTCAATCTTGTTGAATTCTTGTAGCAAACGTCCATCCTGCAAAGAGGGAGAGAGGGAGGGAGATGCTGATGGTTCAATTGCCATGGTAACAGTTTCTCTTTCCTGACTTGAGGTTGTGGGGATGTATGCTGGCCTCATTTCCTCCCCCCGCCCTCCACAACTGCTGTCCAAATGAGGAGAAGAGTTGAGGGGAAAAGAGAAGTTGTCAACTTCATGTTTTCTTACATTGAAGTCCTAAAGGTGCCTTTTCAAAAGGCAACTGGACTTCGTTTCTCCTTGAAGATGTTTCGCTTCTCATCCAAGAAGCTTCTTCGGTTCTGACTGAAAGAAGCCCCTTTGGGACATATCCTATGACCTGAATGACTAAGAATCTCCACAGACGCTTAGATTAAAAGTTCCTCTCACTGGGCCGAGAATAATTTAGGCCTCAATTTTCTCACATAGTTAAGTCGAGGTACAGGAAGTGCTTGGTTTATGACCGTAATTGGGGCCATAATTTCTGTTGATGAGCAGGGTGGCTGTTAAACGAGACATGCCTGATTTGACCTTGACCGCCTTTTCTGCCACGGTTATTAAAATGAATCGCTGCAGTTCTTAAGTGAATCACATGGAGGTAAACCAGATATAGATTTAATTGAGATAAATACAGAAATGGAATTTACTATAACAATATTGATATTTAACAAAGCGATGAGTAAAGGAAAAATTGAATTATGAGAATTGCAATGGAAAGACTATTATCAGCTCCCAAAATGAAATGTATGTATGTATGTATGTATGTATGTATGTTATTCAGCTTTGTTCGGGTATTTTCCCACATCAATGTAGTTGTGCTTTTAAAGTTGTAGCAATGTTTCGGCAGAATCTCATCTGCCATCATCAGGCTTCTGTATTGTGTTCGTCTGTATACACATACACACACACACACACACACAACACACACATACCTATGTGATATGTGTAGTTAGGGGATTATTGTTATTAATGTAGAATGTGATAATTAAAAAATGACTATTATGGCAAACTTTTACAATGAATTAAAGGGAATAAAATGGGGAAATGCATAAGGTAAAGGGGTGACAAGCTCGAATTGACAATGAAAGGGGATAACTTTTGGTTAATTAGAATTAGGATGAAATTTATTGAACAATGAATGGAACAATAGTATGTGATAAACTTGCAAATGTGACAGATAAAAGGAAACATGCGTAATGAGTATAGAAATGAAACAAGAATTTAGATAGTATTGTAAAATAAGGCATGAGAATATTTAAAGAAAAATGAAATAAGCTATAATGTGAAGAATTTGGATAAAATGAGTGTAATGAATATAATAGTATATGAGAATATTTAAAGAAAAATGGAATAGGTAATAATATGATATGAAACTGAATATGAAAGCTGAATATGTAAACATGGTCATGTTTGTATTGAAGTGTAAAAACCTGGAGCCATATTGTTCACCCAGAGATGTTTTTTAAAATATAAAAATAAAAAATGTATTGCAAAAAAATATATCACATGGTGGTAAAACAAACATATTTCCCTCCACTCATTTTGCTCATCAGAAACTGGCTGTGATGTTCACACATGGCAAGAATATAATCCCAGAAACGCTACAACCGGCATAAATACATGCCAGTTGCCAAGTGTCTGAATTTTGAACCCGTGACTCTGGACATCCTTCTAAGAATCGCAAGTGTGATGGCTGGTTACTTTTTAGGGTGCCCTTGTAACTTCCCACTGTTGCTAAACGAATGAGTATAAGTTGAGGACTACCTGCATTGGTGGCTACCACTTCCAGAAAGGCAGACTGAACCTGGAAATTTGGAAATGTATAACCACAGTGCGTTTGGAAGGCACCAGATGTCAGGAAAGTCAAAGATATTGTACATGTTCTCCTTTTCAGGCACTGGCGTTCATTGCTAAATCCACTGAGAAGATCTAGAGATCCTGTTAGGGATAACATTGTTTACCCTAACTGGTTTGGGTAAAAATAATAAATAAGTTATCATGGTTTGTTGGTTAAAGTGTGTGTAACTTTAACTACAAGAATGTAATTAAGGGTGTGGTTGTAAAAGCACCATAAAAGAAGCAAGTCAATTGCAGCTCGCTCTCTCTGGCTTAATGATCCCTAATTACTGGATGGATTGATGACTGCGTTTTTCCTTACTGGAACGGAGGAGAGAAAGGAGTGTTGATTTCTCAACGGAGAGAAGACATAAGAAGGACTGATTTATTGTAAGTGAACTGACATTGGCTATTCAACACGGATTTTGCAAATTGAGTATCCCCGGCTGGACTGACTGAAATGATACATGACTAATGGACCATTTATTTTGACTATGCTATAATTCCTAATGGAATAAACTATATTTTTTGATAGCACAAGCTTATCTGTTTTTTACTGCGTGTTAACTAAAATACAAACTTATCTCACACATTTACCTGTCTGCCTATCTGACTACGCTACACATTCTGTTTAGTTTGTTTTCCTTAACACTCGTTGGGGAATTCAGGCTTAACAGATCCCATTTCAACAAACAAAAGAATTACGAAGAGGTTTGTGCTACTAGGGAAGAAGCATAAGGATCTAGTCAGGCAATGGCCGGGATTAAAAAGAGACAGGACAGTCGTTTGTCTGAAATAGTACAGGGTCTCCTGCTTAGGCAGGGGGTTGGACTAGAAGACCTTGGCAGTCCCTTCCAACTCTCTTATTCTGTCCGTTATTTTCTCTCTCAGGCCAACCCACTTCACGGTGTTGTGAAGAAAATAAGAAGAGGAAAATATGTTGGATATGTTTGCTGCCATGAGTTAATTGTAAAACTAATAAAGGAGAGATACAAACAAAAAAACAAACAAATATATTCCACAATGCTCCTTCAGTAGATATGAAGCAGGATCCAGGTCTGTTCAGTTTCAAGGTAGCTTCCAACTCTGTTACAGGTAGTCCTCGACTTATAACCACAATTGGGGTTCAAGCCCTACTTTTAAACATGGATTCTCAAAATGATTTGGGGCCAGGGCTTCTCTTCAGCTCACTCTACCTTAAAGGACGAGGTTGGTGTCTGCTGCTTTAAATGCCTGATAAGAAATTTAAGTATTAAAAACCCAGGGAAACAGGTTAGCAAAGAAAAGATGGCGGCTGAGTAACATTTCTCACATGCCATCCAGGTAGATTTTTTTCCCCCACACGTCTCTCAATCGGAAGTTTCCAGTTTGCTTAAGCAGCTCTTCTGCCCCACACAAAGGTACCACCTCACCTTGTCGTACCAGCAGCGGATGCTGAGTTGTCCACAGAGACAGTTGCTGGAGGAACAGTCGTCCTGGCACGTGCAATGCTACCAACGTAAAAAGAAGGGAGGTGAAAACAGAGGTGACGTGGCAGGAGATGGTGCCGAACATCATCCAGCTTCTATGCCGGTGTTTTTTCAACTGTGGCAACCTGAAGACAGGGGAACTTCAACTCCCAGAATGATGTTGGCTGGGGAATTCTGGGAGTTGAAGCGCACCCAACTTAAAGTTGCCACGGTGCAACAAACACTGCTCTAGGCTAAGGCAGCTAAGCAACCTCTCCATAGGCAGGCAACCTATACCGTATTTTTTGCTCCGTAAGATGCTCCGGAACATAAGACGAACATAGCTTTTGGGGAGGAAAACAAGAATATGAAAAATCTGCCTCTGCCTCCCAGCCCCACAGGGCTCTGCTCCGTTGCACCCACCCCAAGTCAGCTGAATGACAACTGGATCCTGGCCTCCCGTAGCCCCACCAATCAGCAGGCTGGCCAACCAGAAGGGGCGCTATTGCTGCCTCCTCTGTGTCTGCTGCCTCCGCCAGGGAACACGGGAGCCTTTGCCAGGGTTCCCTGGCTATCGCCGCTGTTATTCACCACCGCTGCCTATTGGTGGTTGGATCGGCCTCCCGGAATACTGCCGATCAGCTATTCCAGACAGTAGGGAACACCGCTGCCTATTGCTGGTGAACTGCGGGGCAATCCCTGCTGCCTGGAACAGCTGATCGGCGGCATTCCGGGAGGCTGATCCAACTGCCGATAGGTGGCGGTGGCGAACGGCGGTGAGGGTAGGCAGCAGCAGCGACAGGCGTCTTGCGTGGAGTCTGAAAACGGGACACGTGGAGGGCGAAAACGGCCAAAGGGTGGGGGCTGGCGGGGCTTTGGTAATATTTGCTCCATAAAAAACAGACAGACATTTCCACTGACTTTTGGGAGACAAAAAAGTGTGTCTTATGGAGCAAAAAAATATGGTAAATCATAGTTCTGTGCTACAGGCAAAGTCAGCCACTGAGAAAGCAAAGGTAGCAGAAATGGCAGCCCAGAAACTGTATCTAACAGGTAGCCTTGTACTAATATCAGATCTTCTCTGTGAAGGAGGTGGGCGGTAAAGAAGTTTGATACCTAAATAAATAAAAATAAATCTTCACTTTCACTCCTTTTCTTACACTTTTTAATTGTTAAGCCGATAGTCAGGAAGCTAACCAAATATTTCTTAAAGACTAGAGTCCATATTTCACAAGAGCTCAACACAGTCCTCTTGCAGGTTCTTTCTTACTAATACTATGCTTAACTCTTAAAAACCTTAATCAAAGCTCAGATTTGATCCTTAAATCACATTATTTGATTTGGAATGTTGGAAATGCCACATAAATACATTACAAATGTGGAGTCCTTGGTGCTTTTGGGGTTTGGCTTGTAGACCTTGACACGACTGCTAGTTGTCAAGCGTTCCAACCAAACTCTTGGTTTCACTGACAAAGCTCCAGGTCACCCATCTTAGCCGTAACAGTGTCTAAGTTCTCCTCAGGGTGCCTCAATTAGCACTTCCATCCCAACCCAGAGTCCTGACAACCTGGTTAGTGGCAAGGAAATCCTGCAAGGAATCCGCTGGAGGAACTCTTCTGGAGCATGAATGGTCGTCTCCGACAACCACACTTCCCACATCCCTCCTCCTTATATCCCAACCAGGGACGGGGCTTGTTAACACTTCCTTCTTTTCCTGGATAGCTGGCCCTCAGCCCCGAGTTGCTGTGCTCTCTGCACTTCTCTGCGCATGCGCATCTGGGACAGGGCCCAGCTGTTCCTCCCTCTCGCTCAGCTCAGGCCCTGAAAGCAGCTCTATCTCCGTCTGGGCGTGACTAGGTGGGAGCTGCTCTGCATCTGGCTCTGAGGCCTCCTGCTCCTCAGAGCCTTCCGTCGGCTCCGATGGTCATCCAGAAACCCCTCCACCTCCTCCGACTCATCTGACTCGACTGCCATCTCCGCTGGCGGTTGACGAACCGCAACACGAACAGCCAAGAATCGGATCAGAGACCCTTTGCCTTGCAAAAGATCTACTCTCCCACCATGCCGTGATCCCTTCCCAGGCTAAAATAACTCTCCAGAGCCAAGCTTGCCTTTGACTTTCTTGCTTTCCCCTCTGCTGGCTGTGCCCAGGAGTCCCGCTGTTTCGGGAATGGATCCAAAAGGATACCTGTAAGTGGGTGATATTGCGATCGATGTTCATGGTGGAAGTCTCGCAGTTTTCCGAGATGTACTTGTAGTCATCTGGGCAGGGTTCATCATCCACAGAGTTGACACAGGGAATGGGCACGTTTTCGTAGCCCCGAGCCACATCCCTGGTTAAAGAAAGAGGGCAGAACCTATGACGGATAGCAACCGCACTTAGACTTATATACCACTTTACAGTGCTTTACAACCCTTCCTAAGTGGTTTACAGAGTCAGCCTATTGGCCCCAACCATCTGGATCCTCATTTTACCGACCTTGGAAGGATGGAACGGCTGAGTGAGCCGGTGAGATTTGAACTGCCGAACTGCAGGCAGCTGGCAGTCAGCAGAAGCAGCCTGCAGTACTGCACTTTTAACCACTGCACTCATCTTATCGGATGCTACTTTTAAGCACACCGCCATGTTTTAACAGCTACCGCTTCCACTTCTATCTTGCTAAATGATATGTCATCCTGCTTAAAATGAGTATTTACTGTGGATGACTGCTGGGCAATCTTTGTAAGCCTCAGTTCATTTTATTATCATTTTATTTCTCACAGCCTATTCTCTTCGTTGTGCTTTATTCTCTTTATTATGCATTGTGTACCACAGGAAAAAAGAAACCGTAAGAATCCTAGGGTTCTAGGGTTGTGTGTGATCTGGTTCAACCCCCGTGCTGGGTAGGAATTTTCACACCACCCCAGACAAATGGCTGCCCAATCTTTTCTTGAAGACCTCCAATGATGGCACCCCCACAAGAGACAAGCACTTTTCCATTGCTTAATAGCTCTTTCACTAGGAAATTCCCCTAGTTCAAATTTCACTTACTCTGTACGCAACTGTTTGCCATTATCACAGGAATCAAATAGTAACTTTAAGACTAATCCTCACATGTATGACCTCACAGATGTGTAAAGGAAAGCTGCCCACTGTTTCACTTAACAGTGAAATTCACTTAACAGTGAAATCAGTTGATTTGCCGATCTCAATTGTGATTGCTAAATGAAATGAAGCTTCCACCTAGTTTTTTTGGCTTACTTTCAGATGCTATGCAGTATAAATCTAAACCCTCATTGCTATTAAATGTCGGGTATCTAGTTTCTCTCTGCCTCCTGATAAACTCCTCTGTTTGCTTAAATCAAGGGTCTTCAAACTTGGCAACTTTAAGACTTGTGGACTTCAACTCCCAGAGTTCCTCAGCCAGCTTTGCTGGGAGTTGAAGTCCACAAGTCTTAAAAGTTGCCAAGGTTGGAGACCCCGGATTAGAAGCAGAGGCTTTGCAACAGCTAATCTCCCGTCTTGCGATACAGGATCCAAAACAGAGACTTTATTGTCAGCTCTGCCTGTTGCTTACAGGACACAATTGTGGTAGCTCTCCCGGGCAGCTATATGCAGAGGCACATCTTCCCACATCTTTTGTGAAGTGGCTTTCTTAAATACTTCCTCTATACCTACCGGAAGTGATGAAACGGGCCTATTATTCATCCTGCAAAGCCTGCAGAGGCTTTTTTCAAGCCTCTGGGAGGCCGAAAAAGGCCTCAAACCAGCTGAAAAATCAGCTGTGAGGTGCAGTGCAGGTAAGGGGGCAGCGTGTGTGTGTGTGTGGGGGGGAATTGCGCATGTATGCGCAGGGGGTGTGTATTGCCTTCTGGGTGCTGGCACGTGAGCGCAAGCGTGCCCACAATTTTTGGCACAGGAGCCCAAAAAGTTTAGCCACCACTGATGTAGGGGCTATAATAAAATGGAAAATACTGTATATACTGTATATTTGCAAATAATGTTAGAAATGAAATGTAGGAATAATTATACGGCATATAGAATAGTAACTTATACAATTAGAAACTATTTTATTATAAGTGAATACTGTTACCGGAATGCTGTAATGAGTGGAAATGTGGTTTTATGGTGAAATATGACTAATAAAAATTTACTTTGGGAAAAAAGCCATAAAATGGGGCAAAACTCACTTAACGAATTTCTCACTTAGGAACATAAATTCTGGGCTCCGTTGTGGTCATAAATCGAGGACTACCTGTACTGCATTCTTTTTTTTCTTTCTTTCTTTCTTTTTAAGTATAAGTTTTTTATTTATCCATGAACATTTTGAATACAGTGTATTGTCAGGGCATACCATTTGCAGAAAAGCGAAAAAAAGAGACAAACCAAAATATTAATGCACATACTGATAACAATAGTGGTGGTATAACAGAATAATTTTAACTAGTTTTCGCATTCTAAAACCACTGCGCCACCATCGCTCTATGAAACCGAAACTCAACCAAATGTGCTTGCTGTCAGCTCTGAGTTCAGCTGCCATAAGAATGTGAAAAATGCAATGCCAGTGGGGGCGAGGGAGTTGAACAGCCAAAGTTATTTAGTATGTCGCATTAAAAAATTCCACCTGCAGTTAATTGGTTCTCGTGATTTATGAAGTTTTTATGAATTTGGGAGATGGGCTGGAAATGAGTTTCAGTTTGAAAATGCCGTCGATGTACCAGAGCTGTTCCTAATAAATCAATTGGAGATTAGAATTGTCTCGGAGTGATTGATTACCATGGACAATTTCTGGATGCCTAACACTTGTGTGCCTACGTTCCACCTGACCACCTTTACCTGCTGATGATGCGTTCCGTGCGCACCGAACGGTTAAGGATGCCTCGACGGATCTTGCGATTGAGTTGAAGGGCAAACCAAACATCCGAGTTCTCCAAGGTCAGGTCCACGGGCAAATCCCCCTCCTTGTTCCGGATTTCCGTGTCAGCTCCCCTTGACAGGAACAAGCTGTGGGAGGAAGGAGGACGTAGTAGATTAGAACAGGGGTCTCCAATCTTGGCAACTTTAAGACTTGTGGACTTCAATTCCCAGAGTTCCTCAGCCAGCTTTGCTGGGAGTTGAAGTCCACAAGTCTTAAAGTTGCCAAGGTTGGAGACCCCGGATTAGAAGCAGAGGCTTTGCAACAGCTAATCTCTCTCCCGTCTTGCGATACAGGATCCAAAACAGAAACTTATTGTCAGCTCTGCCTGTTGCTTACAGGACACAATCGTGGTAGCTCTCCCGGGCAGCTATATGCAGAGGCGTGTCTCCATGGAAATTGACCGCGTGGAGGTCACACTGGGCATTAAGCAAGACTTCGGCAATCTCCGCGCTTCCTGTGAAGGAGGCCCAGTGCAAGCAGATATTCTCTTCCTGGAGGGAAGGAGAGGAAGGCGTTAAAGAAAAACGACAGGCAACGGGACGGGTGTCCAAACTTCTGCATGTTCCCTCATAGAGGCCCGTAAAGCTCTCCAGAAGGTCTCCTCTATCGCTCTCAGCAGTAGCCCCTAGGAGGGACCCCAAAAGGCAAGATGGCTGTCCTGACTAGCAGGCCCAAAGCCTGACCGTCCATCAATTTCGCATGCGCGTACAAAGAAACGAGACTTCAATGGCACTGCCATATCTACCATCCTTTTACTCCCCTTCCCCCTTAGCAGTGTTACTTTCCTAATTGCAAAGATTTCTTTTTAAGCAAGGGCCCAACAGCAACGGGGTGACCAAACCCAGAGGTCTCCAATAGCACTTAAGACTTGTATACCGCTTCACAGTGCTTTGTAGCCCTCTCTAAGCGGTTAACAGAGTCAGCATATTACCCCATAACAATCTGGGTCTCATTTTACTGACCTCGGAAGGATGGAAGCAGTGGTGGTGTTCTACCGGTTCGGCTCGGTTCTGGTGTACCGGTAGCGCCGAAGAGCAGTGGAGACCAAACCGTTTCTCTCCCGACGCTCTAATGTTGGGCCCTCCATACTGTCCTTCATTCCCTGCTTTTGAAGCGCAGCTGCTTTGCGCGGCAAGGCAGATCGCCGCGCGGCAGCTGCTGAAGCGACAGGGAGAGTGCAGGATTGCAGGAGGTGAGTCGGAAAGCCTCTGCGCCTGCGCAAAGTGCGTGTTTGGCACACGCACGCAAAGCCACGCCCACCGAACCGGTGGTAAACATTTTTTGAAACGCACCACTGGATGGAAGGCAACCTTGGTGTCAGCCAGCGGTGGGATTCAAAATAGTGTTGCCATCGGTTCGGTGGGCGTGGCTTGGTGGGCGTGTTTTGCAGAGGCATTTGCGCAGGCACAGAGGTGTTCTAACTCGCCTCCTGGAAGCCTGCACGATCCCAGTTGCTTCAGCAGCTGCCGCGCGGCACTATTCTGTGCCACGCAAAGCAGCTGCGCTTCAAATTCAATAGATAAATGTTGTGACTCAGAGGTTTGAACCTGCTCTGTCAGAAGACATAGGCTCGAGTGATGAGGAAGATCTGGCATTACGGTTTGAGCCTGCCTTGTTGAGTGACATAAATGGGAGTCAGGAGGAAGAGGAGGACTTGGCATTGGGGTTTGAACCTGCTTTGCTGGAAGTTTCGGAATCCTCATCCTCTCCAGGACCTTCCTCATTAGTTATGCCTCAGGTGTTGGCAGATAAGCAGGAGAAGGTGCCGGAGTCCTTGGATGAAGATCAAACCGAAGAATGTTGGTTTGATGCAAGGAACAGACGTAAGCAGAAACGTCAAGCACAAACTGGAAGGAGACGTCGAATCAGGGACTGAGGAAAGAGACTGACACGCCCCTCAGGGAATATAAGGAGGCGTGTTAGCTTTGAATCCCCGTTCGGGTCAAACTTGCTAATTTGCATCTGCAGTTTGGACAAAGTAATTCTGTTTGCCGTTTGTCTCTGATTTATAGTTCTGCTCGTTATCAGAATTTGCAGACAGCTTCTGGGAAAACTGCCAACGACGAATTCAGCCAAAGGAAAGTTAACTCTGTTGTTCCTGATATTGTCTGTTCGTGTTTTTTCCTTTGGACATTTGGACTCTCACCTCGTGGCCACAGGTGAGACAGAACAGATAAAAGTGAGTATGGGAGACCAAGCGGGTGGGTGGGCCCAACAGCAGAAGCGGCGGAGAGAACGGCTTTGGTCTCCGCTGCTCGTCGCTCCTACCGGCTCGCCAGAACTGGGCTGAACCGATGGAATTACCACCACTGGTGTCGGCCTGCATCTTTGCTTGCTGCCAGCTGCCATGGAAATGGTGGGAGGGGGAGCAATGGGCACTTGAGAGGAGGAAGCATGCAGGAAGGTGCAAGTGGAAATTTTCCAGAAGCGATAAAGCTGCCAGCTTGGATTTTGTTTGCCATCCTCACAAGGACAGCTGCCCTAGCTTCGGTATGCAGAAGGGAGGAACAGCGCACCTGAATCAGAGCCTTTCCCAAAACATCTTCTTGGCCGATGATTGAACTCTGGTTGCCTGGCTACAAGGGGGAGGGGTATAGCTAAGACAGGGCTGTCAAACTCCCAGCCCACGGGCTGGATGCGTCACACACTGCCCACGCCCGGTTTAGCGAAGGGGGAAAAAGTCCTGATACGTCACGTGACGCTTCTGTGACGATGTGAGTTTGATACCTCTAGGGTTTGTTTCAATTTGGTACTTGGGGCGTTTTTTTGCTTCAGATCTTGTCTGACTTAGCTGTGTTCAGCTCCTTACTAGTAAAAGTACCTTTTCTCTACTTTTCATGGAGTCGAGGGTTTCCCTTTCCTAGGGATTGAACAGAAGCAGCACTGACACTTGGCAACTTTAAGACTTGTGGACCAACTGTGGCTGGCTGGAAATTCTGGGAGTTGAAGTCCACAAGTCTTAAACTTGTCAAGGTTGGAGATCCCTGGACAAACCAACCTTGTCCATTCTGTTTTGCAGATAAATCCAACCAGATATCCCACCCATCCCCCGGGCTACAGTTCGGGCTCCCGGGAACAAATCTCACTCGTCTCTGTTTTAACTCAACTTCGCAAAACCTGGTGCTTCCCCAGGAAACCCAAACTCACGTACGTTGTCAGTCAAGGTGACGTCAGCTCCTCGGGTGAGCAACATACGGATCACTTCAATGTGCTTATGCTCGGCAGCCCAGATAATGGGGGTCCAACCTCCATTATCCTAAACAAGGAACAGGAAAAACAAGTATTGTGTGAGGGTCCAGGGAGAGCTGGGTGAAGCTTGTAGCCACTGTCAGCAACCAAGGGAAACCAGCCTCCTCACTTACCTGGGCATTGACATCCACCTGTCCCGTGGAAAGGAGCAGGCTGACCATTTCCACATTTCCATTCTTGGCAGCATGATGAAGACAGGTAGATCCATCATCCTCCTTTTGGCAGTAACAAAAGGAGGACGAAACACCATTAATTTAAGTTGCATGTAGGCACTTCCACTCCCCGAAGTGACTCCCGCCCTACTTTTATCATTCTCATAACACAATGATGGAATCCCGAACTCTAGTCCCACAAGAAGCAGCCTTTACAAGTTTGGATTCGTGCGTTACACTAATTTTTGTGTGATTTTTTTTGGCTTTAGCTCAGGACCTTTTATAAACCTAGTCAATATGGTTTGCACCCAATGGCTTGGTATTATGTGCAATCTAGCCCATTTTTGATAGGCTCAACAAACTATGGTTGAAACAAACCAAGCCTAAATATAAAGGTTTAACCCCATCACTGAGTTATTCTATTAAACCACCTGGAACAGTATTGTTAATCCAGGATGTTGGAAATGTGCGGTTGTTTTGGAAAAGTTAGTATTTTCTACCAAAGGATGTAGCAATATAGGTTACTATTGCAGAAATCAATCCTGTGATATCTTACAATAATATATTATGCTGTTTATTTCACCATTTCTCAATCTTTGGCAACTTTAGGATGTGTGGACTCCAATTCCCATGCTTGCCGGGGGAATTCTGCGAGTTGAAATTCACACATCTTAAAGTTGCCAAGATGAGGGAAATATTGTCGAAGTTTCAGTGGTGAACCAGTGGCTATTGATTAAAATATAAGATAGGTTTGGTTTTTTAAAATTTTCCTTTCTTAGTTTCTATGTTTGATTTTCTTAAGATTAAATACTGTTTTGTTACAAAAAAAGATGAAAAAAAAAAAGCATTTTTGAGGTGAACGTCAAGTTTTTGAGGAGAAATTATTTCAATAGAGCGCAAGCCGGTTAAGGCACACACATTTGTTCCTCCACCAAACTATGATTTTTTTCAAACATAGCACACATTGCAAAGAAATGATACAATCAGCTACTTTGTATACATTATGTTGAAGACTCTCATTCTTTTAAAAGCAGCAAGACACATAGAAATAAAACCACAGTGTACCAAAACAACTGAACACATACAATTTCTTCTTGTCACATTAAGGACTTTTCCAGAAGAAAAAAATCTTGCACTGACCCCCATTAAGAAATAAAATACCCCCTCCCCCTCAATTCCCTTCTATACAGCCCTCCTTCCACCAAAAGATCATTTCTAAAATCATTTATCTCCTAACCTTTGTGTACACACAACCTCCCCTCTTCACCAAGTAACGTGCGAGCTCCACATGGTTGTTTGCAACCGCTTCCATTAAAGGGGTTCGACGCAACTTGTCCACCGTATTTATGTTGGCTCCAGCCTGCCGGAGGAAATATTTATGATTTATTATTAATTGATTTGTTGACTTGTTCAACTGGATACATAGGAAATCCTAGTTTAGTGACTGCCTTGGATAGTAACAGTTTGCAATTCTCGCGTTAAGGAAGAATAATTTTTCCACCAGTGCCTGTATTTAGGACAACAAAAATCTTCAGTGCGAAACTGATTAAGGTCTGGTCAGTTTCAGCAGCAGCTGAGAGACCGCCAGGAAGGTTCTAATGAACTAATTATAAGGTCCCAGAGCTGAGCTTGTTAATTAGCACATTTTAGGAAAGGGTTGGAAGCAGAGGTGGGATGTTACCGGTTCTGCCGAGCTGGTAGCGCCGAAGATCAGCTGAGTCAGAACCGTTTCTCTCAGGCGATCGGCTGCTGGGCCCGCCTGCTCAGGCTCCCATACTGACCTTTATTTCCTGCTTTTGAAGCGCAGCTGCTTTGCGCGGCACAGCAGATTGCCGCGCGTCAGCTGTTGGAAGACACAGGGAGCGTGCAGGATTGCAGGAGGTGAGTAGGAAAGCCTCTGTGCACATGCAAAGCGTGCGTTTGGTGCATGCGACGCATGCAAAGTGTGCTTGCGCGCCCACTGAACCAGTGGTAAACCACTTTGCAACCCACCGCCGGCTGGAAGGCATAGAAAAGTACCCCAGGAAGTGACCATTTGTTTAAGGGGCAAAAAAGCAGCAACCCCCCCACCAAACAAAACAGGATACCATCCAAGAGAACTTTAATCTGAGTGAGACTGTAGGATGTTACAGCATCTTTGTCACTCTCTCTATCACTGGTTTGCTTAGTGACTGTGTCAGCAACCAGAACAATTGCAGTTGTTCAGCAAGGACTATTCTGTGCCAATTTGATTTGATGGTTTGATTGCTTATTGTACCCTATGACTATCATGAAGTGTCATACCTTATGATTCTTGACTCCTGACGAATGTATCTTTTCTTTTATGTACACTGAAAGTATTTACACCAAGACGAATTCCTTGTGTGTCCAATCCCATTTGGCCAATAAAGAATTCTATTCTATATTTAATATACTGAATATTCAACACCTCTGCTCTCTCGCTCTCAGCAAACCCAGAACTGTGTATTTCCCTCCTTTAACCTTTCCATCCCTTCCTCTTTCCAGAAGTTCATTTAGTGACTGTTCAAAGTTACAACGGCGCTGGAAAAAAAGTGACAGGTCCGTTTTTCACCCTTATGATCATTGCAGCATCCCCCAGGGTCATGTGATTAAAATTCAGACGCTTGGCAACCGACTCATACTTATGACGGGTTGTTGTGTCCCGGGGTCATGTGATCCCCTGTTGCGACCGCCTGGCAAGCAAAGTCAGTAAGGATGCCAGATTCACTTAACCACCGTGTGATTGTTAACAATGGCAGTGATTCACTTAACAACTGCGGCAAGGAAGGTCGTAAAATTTACTTAACAAATGTCTCACTAGCAACATCAATTTTGGGCTCCATTGTGGTCGTAAGTCGAGGACGCTGTAGAACTTCCACACAGAGGTTAAAATCAGGAGCAAGTGAGGAAGAGGTTCAGGTGGAGCTGTCTCACTTAACAACAGAAATCTGGGGCTCAATTGTGATCGTAAGTTGAAGACTACCTGCACATTCAAATCTACATGTGGGTTGCACGTAAATCTGAACTGCCCTTTCTCAAAACCGGCTGCAGAATTTCCAAACAGCAGCAAACCGGTGCAATGTATTTTATAGAGTAGAATACTATAACTGGAAAAGGAGTGAGATGATTCAAGGAGATAGTATATATTTCTTTTTACTGTCAAATTTGCCTGCAATGTTTAAACTGCTGAATGGGGGTTTACCTCCTTCAACTCAATAAGTTGGTGAAGGATATTTATTTACTTCTTGCTCAGGGGCTGGTGTTGCCAGCTCTAAAAGTCAAGCCCAGGACAAACCAAGGAAAAAAGGAAACCCAGTAGATCCCAGAGGCCCGGGTTTATTTACACACAGACAAACCTGAAGCAAAACATGGCAGATTTCCATGTAGCCCTTCTGTGCTGCAGCATGCAGTGGGAAACGCTTACTTTGTTGCTCAGTCTGGAAATTGGGGTCTAAGCTGTCTACTGAGGGGGAAAAAAAGAGAGAGAGAAGATAAGTGACAACTAAAAAGGAAAAGAGAATAAACAATTGTCCCAATTGGCTAGATTCATGAAAATAAAATGGTACATTTCAACCCCCTAAGGAAATACTGAAAGAAACCTTTCTTTTACCAACTCTTGATGGCTGGCTGGGGAATTCTGGGAGTTGAAGTCTAGAGACATCTTAAATGTCTATGGAGATTCTCAATCATCCAGGTCATGGTTGTCCCAAAGATGCTTTTTTTCCAAGAGGCAACTGGAGTTTCTGGTTTTTTTCTTTGAAGACGTTTCGCTTCTCATCCAAGGAGCTTCTTCTTCATTGATTCATTCTTCAGAGCTGAAGAAGCATCTTGGATGCAAAGTGAAACGTCTTCAAAGAAAAACCCGAAAGTCCAGCTGCCTCTTGGAAAAGCACCTTTGGGACAGACAATCTTAAAGTTAGTAAATTTGAAAAACACTGAGGAAACCCAATAGAAAGCCCTTATTCAGGGGTGGGCTTCACATTTTTTAGCAAGGGGCTCTCTGCCCTAATGATTGGCTGGGTGGGCGTGGCTGGGTGGTCATGTGACTGGGTGGGCATGGCTAGGTGGTCATGTGACTGGGTGGGTGTGGCCAACTCGATGTCGCTTCTTTGCCCTAACTACCTAAAAAAAGATATATACCAAAAAGTTGTTTATTATTTTGTGCATTTAATACTTAAATAAAAGTCTGGGTGAAACAAGGCTTAATAGCAGTGACTGAGAGAGGGATCTTGGAGTCTTAGTGTAGTTTCTGGTGAGTTAGGTGATTCTTCTTATTTGGGAATTAATCCCCTCGGAGGCTGGTGGCTATGTTATCTGATTTTCTCAATGGCTCTTACACACTTTTACGAGGTGTGAAATGTTCTTGGCTGAATGCCCAGAAGTTCAATTAAGCCTATTAAGAGCTTTCCCTTGCTGCTTGTCTTTCTGAGGTTACTGGGAGCTCTCCGAGCCCTGCACAGTCTTAGCTAGGAGAACCCCTAGCAGCTCACCCCTGCCCTTATTCCTATCCCCGGTCTCCCCATTCCCCATTCCAGCAGGGAAGTGGGTAAGGCAACTTACACAACATCAGGACCACTTTCTGCAGTTCCCCTTGCTTAACGGAGAGGTAGAGCTGACGCGGATGAAATCGCAGCTTCTTGCGCCTGGGAGCGATAGAGGAGAGACGAATCAAAGAGAAATAAGGCCAATGAAGCCTGGAGAGAAAGACAAACTGGAAGGCAAGAGACAGGGCAGAAGGGGAAAACCATGGCAACTCGGCACCCATTTAAGCGTTCTCACTTTGCTTTGTTGCCGAGGCCGGACCTCTGCTATCAAACAACGAATGTTTGCCGGAATAATGCTAATGATAATCCTGGTCTTAAAATCAAGGCAGAGAGGGTGAGAACAGTGGCTTGCTTACCTTTCGGATTCCTGTACCACCAGGGCTCGCTCTAGCTGCTCCCTTCCAGCCCCCACTGGCAATCCTTGTGCTGAAAGCACAGCTCCGTTAGGAAGAGTCAGCCGTGGTCCCGCGCTATCAATACCTGGGCCACCGAAGCCCGCCGTATCATTTGGCGGGTGTTCAACACCTGAGCCCCCACGCATCCGAGCACTGAGGGAAGAAGGCCAAACAGAGCCAGTAAGAAAGATTCCAAGCTAAGAAATCATAACGTCGTAAGTACAGGTGTCAACTCATATTTCTATGGTCTTTTTAGAGTTGCCAACAGAAAAGAAGAGGGGAGAAGTGGGCAGCTTGCATTCCATAAATGTTTTTAAAGATAGTTTCTAGGTGACTGAAGTTTCTGCCGCATAAAATTCTAACTGGAGAGCATGCTGGATGACTCTTGGCTATGGATGTGTCCCATTGGAGAATATGAATTATGATACACCCAGGGGGTGGGGGAAAAACCAGGGTCAAGGGTGACAATGAATGATGTGTCTCAGAGTCGGCTACACCCAGGCAGCGCTGGCATGTTTACTCCTAATAAATCTTCTTTAAGCTTTGGAAGTTTGGCTAGAGACTCATGATTTAAATGGGGGTAACTATTGGAGCCCTGACAAGAATGACCACAACTGCGTCACAAATTTCTGTTAAGCAAGACGGGTGAGTGAGTTTCATCTCATTTTACGATTTTTCTTTGCCACGGTTGTTAAGCTACCGTGGTTAAGTTAGTAACGTGGGTGTGAAGTGAATCCGGCTTCCCCATTGACTTTGCTTGTCAGAAGGTCACAAAAGGGGATCGCGTGACCTTGGGACACGGCAACCGTCGTAAATATGAGCCAATTGCCAAGAGTCCAAATTTTGATTGCGGGATTACGGGGAGGCTACAACAGTCGTTAAGTGTCAAAAAACGGTCCTGGCTCACTTTTTTCAATGCCGTTTTTACTTTTGAACAGTCACTAAATGAACTAAGTGAGTCGAGGGCCACCTGTATGTGGTGGAATTTACAGCTAGAGTGTGAAGTGGGAAGAGACTGGTGAGCTTGGAATCCCTGCAGTTGTGCAAGTGACCGAGATCTGATTCCCTCTAAGGCAGGGGTGTCAAACTCAAGGCCCGAAGGCCGGATTCAGGCTGTGGGGCTGCCCTGGAAACAGTGAAAGACTGGCCTACATGCCCCCCCACCCCCCGACCCTTTGCTGGCAGAGAGTTGCAGGAGGCCATCGCAGCTGGAAATGGAGCTTGGGAGCCAGTTTTCACCGGCAGAGCGCTTGGGCCACCACAGGCACCCCCGAGACAAGTGACGTCGAGTTGGCTCACCCTGGCCACGCCCACTCCAGTCCCCTCCCCACCCATGGTGGTCAAACACAACCCTAATGCGGCCCTCAATGTAATCGAGTGTCAGGATTCCAGCAGTTACTCCAATTAAATCATGAGCCTCAAGCCACACTCCCAAAGCTAAAAAGGATTTATTAGAAGTTAACATTCCGGCATTAGCCTGGGCGTTTGACACCCCTCCTCTAAAACACCTGAAGGCTGTTCCCAACAGAATGCAGTCAGCCTGGCAAAATTCTTCTAAACAGGCAAGCAACAATAAAGAGAAGCAACTCTGATCAGGTCACAGTGTCGTTCTGTTTCCTTGTGCCTGATAATTAACCTTCGTGTCCCCTTTGGTGTTGTGACAAGACACAGTTCATCAGTTTTGCGTCGTCGCAAGCTGTACAAATAACACAACGACATACAGAAGAATACAACCAGTGGTAACCAGTAGGAAAAAACATGGAACTTAAGTCTAGAAAATCAGGAAAATGTGAAAGAAAAAAACTCATGATGGTCCTGCCTTGATTTTCTTTGGTATAAGAGGAAGGAAAAGAGAAATGCTGGGAGGTTTCCAGATTCTGTGATTATAGCCGAAATCGATGTTCCTCAACCTCAACGAGTTTTTAAGAGGTATGGACTTCAATTCCCAGAATCCCAGCATGGCTGGCTGGAGAATTCTGGGAATTGAAGTCCACACCTCTTAAGCCTGCTAGACTGAGAAACACTGGCTTAGATCAATTAGGTAGAGTAGAGTAAAGTAGAGTAGAATAGAATAACTGATATGGAATAGAACACAAGAATGAGCATGAAATTGAATTTGTGTCTGTATGAAGAAGTGTAACCCGGGACCATGCTATTTTCAAAAAAAGATATTCTATTTGTATTATGTTTTTTGTGTGAAACCCCAAATAAAATTTTCACACACAAAAAAGAATAGAATAACAGAGTTGGAAGGGACCTTGGAGGTCTTCTAGTCCAACCCCCTATTCAGACAGGAGACCCTACACCACTTCAGACAAATGGTTATGCAACATCTTCTTAAAAACTTCCAGTGTTGGAGCATTCACAACTTCTTGAGGTAAATTGTTCCACTGATTAATCGTTCTCATTGTTGGGAAATTTCACCTTAGTTCTAGGTTGCTTCTCTCCTTGGTTAGTTTCCATCCATTGATTGCTTCTTGTCCTGTCCTCAAGTGCTTTGGAGAAGAATTCTAGTATATCTTGGGGATCTGTTTCTTGATCTGGCCGACTTCAGAGGGCTAACAGGATGTCACTGGAAAGGAGTGAGGCTGAAAACCTTAGAAAACTTTTGGGTGCATATTTGTGGAGAACGGTGGAATGGAGGAACTTTGGAGTTTACATCAACCCTCCTAAGCTTTGCTCAAATGTGGCCCTTTTGCCGCCTGCGAGTTCTAGCAGTGCCACTTTTCTTTTATGGGATTTAGGGACAGGAAAGGAGAAACTGCTTTCGCCACAGACAGTGCCCAAAGTTGGAAGATTTAAAAATATTTGGTCAATTCTGTGTCCTTTGGAGGAGTCCAGCAGAGATAGGCATCAATGGCCCCTTTATGACCTGTGGACTTCAACTCTCAGAATTTCTGAGCCAGCACGAACTCAACTCCCAGAATCCCTCAGGATGGCTGGCTCAGGAATTCTGGGAGTTGAAGTCCACAAGTCATAAAAGGGCCATAATTCCCCACCCATTTTACAGCTTGAGAGTAATACTAGAGAAGACCTCTGGCATGAACTAAAAAGATTGCATTTATAAATAAAAAAATACATATCCTTTTAAATAGCCGGATACTCGTGCTTCACTACAAAACTATGCGGTCAGACTTAGTTTTTAGGGAGGAAAATAAGGAGAGAAAAATCCTGCCTCTGCCCACCAGCATCCATCGGCATTCATCTGGCTAGCTTCCTGTCAGTATGTGAGAGTTGAGGGCTGTTTGGAAACTGAAAGTTTTTGCTGTGTGAGCAAGGAGACAGCAAGGATCCTGGGCGTGGTTTAGCTCCACTGTTCTGTACTAAAGCTGCTTGGTACTGTGAAAACTGAAACTTCTCTCCTCTGCTTGTGTTTTGCATTTGGAATAGATTTCTTTTCAGGTGGGCAGGGGGAGTAGAACTCCTTAGCATCAGAGCGTGTTAATAATAATAATATAGGAAATACTAATGCTCTGATGGTCGTTTCGAAAAATCCTTTCTTAGTGAGCACCTAGAAGCCAAGAGGAACATACATGCCAAATTTCAAGTTTGTAGGCTTTACAGTTCTGGAGATTTTGTGATGATGCGTGAGTGGTATTTCGCTTTTATATGTATCGATTTTCTGAAAACCCAGGAATTGGGATCCCTGCCAGATGCAGCCTACTCTCACCTGGGTTGGGTGGTGTCAGCACGGCCAGTGGACTCGGAAGCGCTGTGGCTATGCGACGGTGGGATGGGGACAGGCGTGGAGGTGTCCGCCTTGGCTATGGTGATCTCCTGGGCCTCCGAAGCATCTTCTCCACAATGTGGACAGAAGATCATGCCGTTGAGTTGGGAAACGCAGGCCTTGTGGAAGCGGTGAGCCACACGGAAGTCCGGGTGGCACTCCAGAAAGGTGCCCTGAGAAGAAGGAAAACAGCCGTCAGGAATCTGATGGACTGGCCACACCTTGTGTATATTAGCGCTCAGCAAACAAATCCTAGGGTTCCTCCTCTGTCCAAGCTCGCCAAGACGGTTGGGGATTGTAATTTCCCAAACATTTGGAAGGTTAACTGGATAGCCAACATTGGAATTGACAGCCAAGCTTACTAGAAATGACAGAGTTGAATCTTCAGGAAGAGAAGATATGAAAACCCAACCTTTGCCATCAGCAAGCAGCCAAATTGTCCAGGAAGGCCAGGCCTAGATGTAACTGAAGCCGCCTGGTCCTCTCTGCTTTCCTGATTAATGTGGCCAGGCTTTCTTCTAGTTGACCTTGAGGCCTTGGCTCAAAATGGCCACCAATGGATTCATTCAGGTAGAGACAGTCTTAGGACTGTGCTCTTCCTCTCAATATATCCCCAGAGGGTGGATGGTGACCCTCTCACCCCATTATCAGGTCCCCACACGCCTGCCGATTTCCGTTCCTCACCGCCGTGCAGAAGTAGCCACATCCAGGGCAGCAGTGATGCTTCACCATCCGGGCGCGATGGGTTTCACACAGGACCATGAGGGGAACCCGGCTGGAGGGACGCATCGTTTCTTGCTTCAAGATGCTGCTGCTGCAGCCATTTAGCTGTAAAGGCAGAAAGGAGAAGCTGTCGCCACCTTTTTGTGGGCCAGGTCCCACTGAGGTCATTTATTAGGGTAATTTGAAGGTGACTTCCAGAAGTGAAGGGAGCTGAATGTCAACTAAAAAGATACTCCTTTTTTTAGCTGCCAGAAAAAGGGAGTGCATTCCTTAAGTGTCTAGATAATCAACCTGGCAGCCCAAAGTTATCGGAGCGCAAGAAAATTACTGGAGAGCATGATTGATGACTCTTGGCGATGGATGTGTCCCATTGGAGAATATACATCCAGAGGGTGGGGGGAAAGACCAGGGTCAAGGGGGAAATTAACGATGTATTTTAATATCGGCTGCATCCAGCTAACACCAACATGGCCACTTCTAATAAATCAATTTTCTTTTCTCTGAGATGCGGCTAGAGACTTATGATTTGAATGGGGGTGGATTTGTTAAGAGTCCTGACAGTAATAATGTTTCAACCTTGGTGACTTTAAGATGTATGGACTTCAACTCCCAGAATTCCTCAGTCAACCATGCTTGGCTAGGGAATTCTGGGAGTTGAAGTTAAAACCCCTGAAGTTAAAACATATCTTAAAACCCCTCAGATTGAGAAACACTATTGGGGCCTAAGCTATTTTGTTTCAGATAGCAGAAGGCACTTAGCCGAGCAAAAGAAGACCCATTTCATTCAGATGTCAAGCTTGCCATCTTCAGCTAAAACTTAATGTCAAAGATCATCTTATAAAACTGGGCTGAGGGCTATTTGTATTGGACAGAATCCTTATTATCTGACAGGTTCTGACATTTTTGGTTTTCTAGAATGCTGACATTTATCATTATTTAGAAGCAACGGGGGGGCTGCAATGAATGATTTGACTTAAAAAATCTTCAGGGCAAAATGGCTTCAGCAAAGCCACCTGGAGCCTCTTCCTTCCCAATTCCCTAGCCATGCTTACCTCCCCATCAGCGCTCTCCGTTGCCATGCACTGATTTCCAGCCTGCTGGCTAAGCCGCTCAATGGTTGGGGCTTCCATGCGGCAAGAACACAACGGAAGTTCCTCAAAGCGTTCGGTTTCCAGCGAACTTGTCTCATTAGACACACCTGGGAAAGAGGAGAAGGAGATGATGTGTCTCCTCAAAAAGCGTACTTGTCAGCCATGCAGGTCCATGTTCTTTGCCCGTCCAGGTCGAGCTCTATCAATTGGGCATCCCAAAGTTTATTAGATGCTCTAAATCGGGGTCTCCTACTTTGGCCTACTTTACGAGTTGTGGACCTCAACTCTCAGAATTCCTCAGCCAGCCATGATCTGAGGAGCATGATGCCAGCTGGCTGAGGAATTCTGGGAGTTGAAGTCCACAAATCATGAAGTGGCTAAGGTTGGAAACCCCTGCTCTAAATTATGACGCTTGTGGCTTGAGTTTGAAGAGAAGATGGCAGCCTCTCCATGTACAAACCCTAATGCAACTATTCTTCAACACTGGCAATTGGAGAGGAAACTTCTACAGCAGATCTGTTCTGACCCAACCGAGTTCCCAGGGAGCAAACACAGACAAACTCAGTAACTTAAACTTTCACAACTTTAATCTGCAAACAACTTCTTCGTAGATAAAAGATGGCTTGAAGCCAATTAGTCCAACCAGAAAAGCCTTGACAGAATTCTTCAGATAAGCTGGAGTCTCCACACACAATGTTGAGTTCTTAGAGAGTTTTTGCCTTCCACAGAACAAAACCCTTTGAAACCAGGCTTATATTCCCTGGAGGGTGGGGGGGCATTAATTAGCATTCTTATTCCCAAATCGCCTGTGTTGCTCTTCTATGAATCATCCTGCGCTCACTCGCACTTAGCACAGGCTCCTTGGGAACCTCCTCCTCATTGCTGCCGGCTAACCACAACAAGGCCTGAGCGGCCCCCAGACCACATCTGGCCCTTTGGCTATCCCTGTCTGACCCAAATGGGTGACTATTTTTTTTCAAGTTTACATATGCAAGTGCATGCATGCATGCCTACACTTTTTCACATCTTATTGGTTCAGCCTTCCACAACTGTCTCAGTTTTTCACGTGGCCGCTTAAGACAAATTCATTGTTCTGCAGCATATGAAGGCACTACACTAGCAAGAGTATTTAGGCTTATATTCCACTTCATAATGTTTTACAGCACTTTCTGGGAGGTTTACAATATAAGCATTATTTGCATTATTGCCCTCAACAACCTGGATCCTTGTTTTACCCACCCCAGAAGGATAGAAGGCCGAGTCAATATGCTGCTTCACAGTGCTTTACAGCCCTCTCTAATGAAGTTTACTGAGTCAGCCTATTTCCCCCAACAACCTGGGCCCTCATTTTATCAAACTTGAAAGGATAGAAGGCTGAGTCAACCTTGAGCCGGGCAGGATCGAACTCCATGCTATGGACAAAGTTTGCCTGCAATACTGCACTCTGACCACTGCGCCACCTGAACTCTTCACCTACTGCTCTGGCTGCAACTTCCCATCGCACAACTCTGGGTCTTAAATCAACACCCTCCTTCTCAACAATGCTCCTTCCCCTGAGCTTGCAGGCTCTGCACAACTTATGGGTCCAAAAATGATGAGCCACAAATGATTCACAAACGATTTGCTGTTGAGGTTGCAATGGAGGAAGCCCACGTTGTTAAAAAAAAAAAAAGAGATTATTTAACGGAGGCGATGTTCAAAAGGTACCCCTTTCCTCTGCTCCGCATATAGTCAGATATGCCTTGATAGCTTTTCTTTTTATAGTCCACATTTCTCACCTGCACAGTACAGTGAAAGCTGTGAACAATTCTCCCCTTTAAAAAAGGAAACTAAGATATCCACAAACCTTTCAAGAAGAGATTGGGCTCCTATCTGTAAGAAATGGTGTAGGGTCTCCTGCTTGGGCAGGGAGGGGGTTGGACTAGATGACCTACAAGGTCCCTTCCAACTCTGGTTATCTGTTAATATCTGTTCTACACTTGAGACTTTCAAGCTACGCCACCTCCCCCCAAGACAACGGGGCTTGAATTCTTGAACCCATTGCTCCAAAGGAAGAGGAGGGACGGATGTGGGCACACACCGGCATTGTTGGGGGACAGGGCCCCCTCATTGGGCAGCTCCAGGCAGCCAAGAGGCACCTCCGTGTACTCGCTCTGGGTGGCTGACGGGTCGCCATTCAGACCTAAGGAAGGAAATGGAGAAAGAAAATGTCTCCAGTAAGGAAAAAGTACATCCATCAGATGCCCGTTGATTTCTTTCCATTAAGTAATTCCGATTTTGAGGGCCTTCTCCTCTGGAGGTTCTGAATGAAACTAGCAGCCCCTTCAGACTTGGTAACCTCCTAAATATTTTCAGATCAGGCCAACAGCTACAGGTAGCCCTCAGCTTACGACATTTCATTTAGCGACCATTTCAAAGTTACAGCAGCCCTGAAAAAAAGCGACTTACGACCGTTTTTCACACTTACAACCGTTGCAGCATGGGTCAGTCACATGTCCCAGGGTCACGTGATCCCCTTTTGAGACTGTCTGACAGGAAAAGTCCATGGGGGAAGCCAGATCCACTTAACAACTGTGATACTAGGCTAACAACTGCAGTGATTCCCTCAACAACGACGGCAAGGAAGGTCATAAGACGGGGCAAACACGTGTTTCACTCAGCAACTCAGTTGGACTCAATTATGGTCGTAAGTCGAGGACTACCTGTACTACAGATATTCCTTGACTTACAACCATTCGTTTAGTGACGGTTGAAAGTTACGACGGCCCTGAAAAAAGTGACTTATGACCATTTTTCACACTTACAACCCTTTCTGCATCCCCATGGTCAAGTGATCAACATTCAGATGTTTGGCAACTGGCATGTATTTATGACAGTTGTAATGCCCTGGGATCATAGGATCACCTTTTGTGGCCTTCTGACAGGAAAAGTCCACGGGGAAGCCAGGTTCACTAAATAACCATGTAACCAGCTTAACAACCACAGTGATTCACTTAACAGCTGTGGCAAGAGAGAGGTTGTAAAATGGGGCAAAGCTCACTTAGCAAAATGTCTCAATACCACCACAGATATTTGGGGCTCAATTGTGGTCATAAGCCGAGGACTGCCTGTACAGCTGGTTCAGAGTGCAGTGGTGTGAGTAGTTAAGGGTGCACTTGATACAAGCCCTGGTCCCTGTGTACTTTTTGCAAGCTTTACTATTTGGACTCTGGGTACAATTCAAGGTCCTGGTTACAGGTAGTCCTTGACTTCAGGGGTGGGTATTCAACAGGTTCTGACCGGAACCGGTAGTGGAAACTTTGAGTAGTTCAGAGAACCGGCAAATACCACCTCTGACTGGCCCCGCCCCCATCTATTCTCTGCCTCCCGAGTCCCAGCTGATTGGCTGGGTTTTCTTTTGTTGCCCTGAACAGAAAAACGGAGCTGGAAAGCAGGTTAGTGGGGTGGGGAGCAGTGGTGGGATTCAATTTTTTTTTACTACCAGTTCTGTGGGTGTGGCTTGGTGGGTGTGGCAGGGAAAGGAGACTGTAAACTCTCCAGTCAGAGGTGGTATTTGCCGGTTCTCCGAACTACTCCAAATTTCCGCTACTGGTTCTCCAGAACTGGTCAGAACCTGCTGAATATCCACCTCTGTACTGCACCGAAGGGATTGGGTGGTCAATGCATTTTTTTTTCTTTTTTCCTTTCTTTTCTACCCTTTTCCTTCCTCTTCTCCCTCCCCTATTTTTTCCACTATTTTTTTTTTTTTTGTATTTTGTATTATAAACTAAAAAATAATAATGTAGATTTAGGATTGCAAAGGGATAAACAAACAAACAAACAAACGTTTTTGCATTCCTGATTTGGTTGCCTTGAGAGAGAAAATCACCTTTGTTTTCCTTGGGATGCGGCTCTTTGCGCTTCCGTTTTCGGGATGGTTTGATCCACGGACTGTCGTGCCGCCACCGCTTCCTGGCTTTACGTTTGGAGCTGGAGGCAGTGCTCTAGAGGGTAAGAAAAACAGAAGAGCCCCCCGAGAATGATGACCAGGAATCTGGAACGAGTCTACATGCAGATGGCTACTCTATGCATCTTGGCCTTAAATGGGTACAGAGCCTCATCTACTACAGGCAGACCTCGGGTTACGACCACAACGGAGCCCAAAATTTCTGCTGCTAGATGAAACATTTGTTAAGTGAGTTTTGCCCCATTTTACGACTTTTCCTGCCACGGTTGTTAAGTGAAGCACTGGATATGTTAAGTCAGTAACATGGTTGTTAAGTGAATCTGGATTTCCTCATTGACTTTGCTGGTCAGAAGAGTCGCAAAACGGGACACCCCCCCCATGTCCCCTGGACACTGCAATACGTCATAAACATGAGTCAGTTGCCAAACATCTGACTTTTGAGAACGTGACCATGAGGGAACGCTGCGACGGTCGTTAAGTGTGAAAACTGGTCATGTCCCCATTTTTTTCAGCTCCGTTGCAACCTTGAGTAGTCACTAAATGAACTGTTGTAAGTTGAGGGCCACCTGCACAAGCCTGTTAGAAGGACAGGCAGTCCTCGACTTATGACCATTCATTTGAGAACCAAAGTTGTGATGGTGCTGAAAAAATGACTTCTGACTGGTCCTTGCGCTTACGACTGTCACAGGGCCCTCGAGGTCACACGACCAAAATGGGTTGCTTGGCAACCAGCGTGTATTTATATGACAGTTGCAGTGCTCTAGGACCGTGATGGGGAACCTATGGCATGCGTGCTACAGGTGGCACGCACAGCCATTTGTGCTGGCACGTGAGCTGCAGGCAAACTTACCTCACTGCACATGCGTGCGCCTCACAGCTGTTTTTCGGCCACTTTGAGGCCTTTTTCAACCTCCCAAAGGCTTGAAGAAGGCTTCTGCAGGCTTTGCAGGCCGAAAAGTAGCCCAGTTTCATCACTTCCTGTTTTTCCTAAAATACTGGAAGTGACGAAACAGGGCTACTTTTCGGCCTGCAAAGCCTGCAGAGGCCTTCCTCAAGCCTTTGGGAGGTTGAAAAAGGCGTCAAACCTGCCAAAAATCAGCTGTGAGGTACAGTGCAGGTAAGGGGGCGTCGGGGCTGGGTGAGAATTGTGCATGCATACATAGGGGGCATGGGGGGGGGCGTGCATTGCCTTCTGGGTGCTGGCATGTGAGCGCAAGCGTGCAAGCGCCCGCACAATTTTTGGCACAGGATCCCAAAAAGGTTAGCCACCACTGCTCTAGGATCATCATTTATGACCCTGGCATGGGGTTCCAACAAGTAAAGACAGCAGGGGAAGCCAGGTTGACCATGTGATTCACTTAACGGTGTAGTGATTCGCTTAACCATGCAGCCAAAATGGGTGTAAAGTCAAGCGTGACTCACTTAATGACTACTTCATTTTGTGACGGAAATTTCATTTACAACTGTGGTCGTAAGCCGAGGTCTACCTGTACGTTTGACTGAACAATAAATCACAGGTGGGTAACTGGTGCCTGAAAGTTGCACACAGGTCTTGTGCTTTCAGGCCCACAGAGTGCAAAATTGGTAGTTTAGTAGCAATCTCAAAGGTGCTTTTTTTTTTTTTTTTCAAAAGGCAAGTGGACTTTGTTTTTCCTTGAAGGCATTTCGCTTCTCATCCAAGAAGCTTCTTCAGTTCTGACTGAATAGTGGAGGATGGGAAAGATTTATATTCATCTGGTCGTTAGCATTCTTTCTGAGAGTCGTTGATACCACTTGGAGGTTCATCTTTGCCCTCATGAGGAATATAAATCCTTCCATTCTCCTCCATCCACTCAGAGCTGAAGAAGCTTGTTGGATGAGAAGTGAAACACCTTCAAGGAAAACCAGAAAGTCCAGGTGGCTCTTGAAAAAAACCACCTTTGGGACAACCATGACTTGGATGACTAAGAATCTCCGTTGAAGAAGGAGAATGCAAAAGTTGGCTTGAAACTCAACATTAAGAAAACTAAGATCATGGCATCCGGCCCTCTCAATTCCTGGCAAATTGATGGGGAAGAAATAAAGGTAGTGACAGATTTTATTATCACCGCAGATGGGGACTGCAGCCAAGAAATTAAAAGATGCTTGCTCCTGGAGAGGAAAGCTACGGCAAATCTAGACAGCATACTAAAAAGCACTTTAGAGAGGGCTGTAAAAGCACTGTGAAGTGGTATATAAGTCTAAGTGCTGTTATTATTGCTATCATCAGCAGAGACATCACCCTGCCAACAAAAGTGCGAATAATCAAGGCTATGGTTTTCCCAATTGCAATGTATGGCTGTGAAAGTTGGATCGTAAGAAAGGCTGAGCGCCAAAGAATTGAGGCCTTTGAACTATGGAGAAGACTCCTGTGAGTCTCTTGGACTGCAAGGCGATCAATCCGGTCAGTCCTAGAGGAGATCAACCCCGACTGCTCTGATGAAACTGAAAGACTTTAGCCATCTAATGAGGAGGAAGGACTCACTGGAGAAGAGCCTAATGCTGGGAAAGATTGAGGGCGACAGAAGAAGGGGATGTTGTGGTTAGCTGGCAGCAGGTGCGGATGGCTGAGGAGAGCGAGGACCCTGATGAAGGGCCAGGACCATCAGGGAGTGGACTGCTGCCTTCAGAGATTGTGGGGGCTGGCAGCAGCGACGAGGAGGTTCCCGAGGAGCCTGTGCCAAGTGCACGTGCACGAAGGATTGCTCGGAGGAAAGAACAATTACAGCGGCACAGGCGACTCGGGAGTAAGGCTGCAAGGTAATGGCCCTTCCCTCAAGAAGATAAAAGCCAGGTTTGAAAAAGCGTTCTTTGCAGACAGCAAAGAAGCTCTTAAGCTCAACTGGTGGACGTCTTAGTTCAGTGTTTGGAGAATGTTGTAAATTAGTTCTTATCTCTGGGTTTTTGGCAGCCTTGACAAACAACTTGGCAAGGCTCTTTCTTGTCGGAGCTAATTAGTGGAAAGCAACCTTCAGAACAGAATTCGTTATTAAACCTTAAAAGGTGGGAGCCGCTGCCTTTGTCTATTTTTGCTCCTTGGGAACCCGGTTGGGTCAGAACAGGGGACGGCAGAGGGGACGTAATTAGTGGAAAGAACAGGGGACGAATGAGGTGGCTGGATGGAGTCACTGAAGCAGTCGGCGTGAGCTTAGATGGACTCCAGCAGATGGTAGAGGACAGGAAGGCCTGGAGGAACGTTGTCCATGGGGTCACGATGGGTCGGACACGACTTCGCAACGAAGAACAAAAGCAATACTTATCTGTTTGTAACTAAACATGGTAAATGTAAAACCAAATAGCAATTGACAGGATTAGATGCTGCAACTAATTGTAACACTAATGTAAAACAAGAGGCCTCTAAACCAGTGGTTGCCAACCAGTGGGCCGTGGGAAAATTTTGGTGGGCCGCAGAGAAATCTCACCCCCAGAACAACCCCCCAAAGCAATTAATCCAGGCTGCGCAGAAACACAAGGCTGCGCCGCCCACATGGCCCGCGAGAACCCTCCCCGCCCACTCACTCCTTACCCGGCAAACTTGCCTGCTATTTTTCCTTTTTCCGACCATCAGTTTGGTGGTCCCTGCTGTGCCGGGAGATTTAGATTAGCTAGGAAGCAGAAAATGGTTGGATTTCTTGCTTTCTAGCTAGTCTTTAGATCTTTGGCTCTGCTTTTAAGCACAGCCGAACCTCTCTTAGGACTGAAGTTTTGCTTGCAAGCAAATTCAGTGCAGACTCACGGCAAGCAAATTGGAGAGACTGAGCTAGCCGATGGCAGATAGATAGATCACTGAATGATTCTGTGAGCAACTCAATCTGCCTGCTTTGCCTGATTTTGGGTAAAAGTTGCTCTTTTTAAAAAAATAAAAATTCAATATTTACATGCATGGTGTGTTGTGAGTTAATTTTGTGAGTTTGCTTGCAAGCAAATTTTATGTGATAGACTGAGCTAGCTGATGGCAGATAGATAGATCTCTGAATGAATCTGTGATGCTGTGAGCAACTCAATCTGCCTACATGCTTTACCTGATTTTGGGTAAAAGTTGCTCTTTTTTTATAAAAAAATCAAATATTTATAATATTTACATACAAGCCATGCCCAGCCAGTCACAGTACCACCAAGCCACACCCACAAATTAGGCTACAGCCACAGAACCAGTGAGTGGTCCCTGGGATCTAAAATTATGAGTTTGGTGGTCCCTGAGGTCCAAAAGGTTGGCGACCCCTGCTCTAAACCAAATGGGCTGCAACGTATCAAAATATTAACCTCTGTGCATTAAAGCGAACAGATCTGAACTATATGAAGTGATTAACAGAAATCTTACAAATAAATAAACTGCGGGGTCGCCGAGAATAAATCCTTATCCAATCAAGATGAGGGTCAACTCACCCTATCAGAGATATTTCCCGACTCTTCCTCATCGTCTTCATCTTCATCTTCTTCATCTTCGTCCTCCTCTTCTTCCTCTTCTTCCTCCTCTTCTTCTTCTTCCTCTTCCTCACTCATATGTTCTCCAGTAACATCTGCATCAGACTATAATCAAAATAAATGAAGTAATTAAAAGATGAGGAGGGGGAAAAAAAACCTAAAATTGGAAGTCCTGCTTTCAATTCCAACCAGACTTCCTATCAGGGCTTCTTATCTTGATGGAACTTCCTAGGTAAGTGCCAAAGAAAATCTGGAATATGCTTTCCCTGATAAATATTCTGAAGGTATACTTAACCAGCTGTTTTCCTAAAGGAATATCCGTTCATTAAATGCCACAAGTGCTATTGCTGTTACTACAGTTTGATCTATCAGTTCAAGTGTTGGACTAGAAACTGGGGTCAGCTCCGGACCGCCAGATGGCCTGGGGCCACCATTCGGGTGGGGGAGGAGTGGCCAGCTGGAACGCATGCGCATCAACAGCCACACCGGGCAGCCTTCCTGGTAGGAAGGAGCCGCCAGCTAGGATGGTGTTCCAGATGCATGCCTGCGTCCTGTATTGCATGGATCCTGCATTCACGGGGCTACCGGCTCGCTAGCAGAAGCCCGGGCTTTACCTAGCTGATTGTCAGCTCATGGAGGAACAGCTGAATGTCGGACCGCAGGAAAACAGCTGATTGTCAGATCGCAGCTGGAAGATAGAGGCAGGGCATGATAAGCCGGGATGGGTGGCTGGGGGTGTGGCTGGACTGTGGCGGCCATTTTGGCATAAGCAATCAATGGGAGGGGAAGGGTGTAACATGGGGTGGTGGTGGAGCACAATATAAGGGGTGAAGTAATCACGGTAGCACAAACTTTGATTCCTGGAGGGCTATGTACGGAGCTGCCTCATGTGTGCCGCCATTCCTTTCTGGTTGGTCGCTTTGTGCCAGGTCTGTGTTTCCAGATAGACATTATCACATCGACCTGTGTTGCTGGTTTTTCTTTACGTGAGACATCGGAACCTGACAATTGGGAGGCCGTGATTTCTTGTATTCCCTGATGCACAAAAGGCAGCTGGCCGATTTGGGGCCAGTGTCTTTCGCTCAAGCCAACAACTTCACATAGTTGTTGTTGTTGTGGGGAAAATAGGAGGTGGATGCACCAACTGGAATGGCATGAAAGGCACAATATAAATCTCATAATAATAATAATAAATATGAAGAGCTTACAGCCAGCGACGATATCTGTAACATCATCAAACATCCACATCTGCCTATCCTAGGTCCTTGGGAAGGACTCAATAGGCGGACAAAAATACCAAATCCAGTCTGAACATCTGGCTGTGTGAAAAACCACAAGATAAAGGAAGGCCTTGTTTAACTAGAGAGGAAGCATGAGTTATCCCAATGGGCAACGGGAACCATTTTAATTCTTCTACAATGCCTTTAACACCAGCATTCTGGGAAATTTAAAGGGCACCTCCCAACTCCAAGAGAAGCCTCAGCATCCTGGGTTGGGTTACAACAGCAGGATTCTGGTAGCTGCGAAAAAGGGGTTAATTATATTTTTTTTTAGTAAATTGCACCATCCTGCACTCCTTGAACGAGCCTTAAAGGGATTAATAAAGTGTTTCAGAACTTTGGCGAGTTGAAGATGGGTGGACTTCAACTCCCAGAATTCCCTAGCCAGCATGGCTGACTGGGGAGTTCTGGGAGTTGAAGTCCACCCATCTTCAACTCGCCAAGGTCGAGAAACACTGGCTAAAAGTCTCAGACGTCCACCATCTTAGTCTTCACACCTTGCTGTCCGAATCGATGTGGCCATCCACAGAGTAGCTGTCGTAGAAGAGGCTGAAGTCATCCCCCACTTCCGTCTCCCATTCTTGGCCTCCATCATCCTGCGAAGCCGTAGCAGGAGCCGTCATCTCCTCCGTCACGGTGATCTATGGGAAAGGATGGGCTTTCATTAAAACCCGGTGAAGGATTATTTTGACGTGAGGTGTGGGGTTGCTAAAGACTACAGTTTAAGGTTACTGAGGAAGGAGGAGATTGCTTTCGGTTTTTCTACCCTAGGAGTCGCTTCTCAAAGGCTGGCATCGAAGTCATGCAAAATAAAGACATGAGGTTTTTGTTTTGTTTTTCCTCCTTCAGAACAACTTCGAAAACGTTATTCAAACTCAAAATTGACTTTTAAGATGAGCGGACTTCAACTCCCAGAACTGAAGATGGGTGGACTTCAACTTTAAGATGGGTAGACTTCAATTCCCAGAATTCTCCTGCCAGGAATCCAATTTTGTTTCACAGGACAGTGTGTTTATTTTAAATGTTCAACCACTTACAAATAAAATAAGCCATTCTAGCTACAGAGACGTCTAGTCCTCGACATATGACTGCAATTGAGCTAAAAAAAAAATGTTGCTAAGCGAGACCCTTGTTAAAGTGAGATTTGCTCCATTTTACGACCTTTCTTGCCATTGTTAAGTGAATCACTGCAGTTGCTAAGTGAGTAACATGGTGGTTCAGTGATTCTGCCTTCCCCATTGACTTTGCTTGTCATGGCCCCAAATGTCCCCAGGACACTACAACCGTCATAAATATGAGTCGGTTGCTAAGCGATGGAATACTGATCACATGACCATGGGGATGCTGCAAAGTCTTAAGTCTGAATAATATTCATAAGTCCCTTTTTTCCCGTGCCATTGTTAACTTTGAACGGTCTCTAAATGAACCGTTGTAAGTCGAGGACTGCCTGTATTATCAGCAGGACTCACTTTCCCAGTTACTATCAGGGCCTTCCTTAGACAATTTGAATACCCGGATCTGCTGATAACTTTTCCTGCATTTTCCCTGGGATGCATCTGTGCATCAAACTTAAAAAAAAATATTTTCTCTCTTCCTTCCTGTTGGCTTCTGTTCCTTACTCAATGAACTCACAGCTTGAAACTCATCATCATTCATGCAAATAAGTTTTTTTAATCAAAAAAGGTGGTCCCTGTTCCAATCCAGACTTCAGGAGCCTCACTCAATAGGGCTACTCGTGAGGAGAAACCCCTTGTTGGGTATAACATTGATACCAAATATGGTTTGGGTGAATAAATATATAAAACTTAGATATCATGGTTTAAGTGCTTATCACTTTAAGCACAATGCAGCAGGCAATTAGCCGATTAAGGGTGCGGTTAGAAGTTACAATATAAGGAAGCATTAGAAGCTGGAAAGCTTACTGTGTGTTACTGTCTGACTGTTACTGTGTCTTGCTGCGACTAACTGTGATTACTGACTGTGAGTGCTGTGACTGAACTGTTATTGTTTGCTACTGTTTACTGAATATCCAGCGTTTGTTTCTCTGGAGAGTGAAACCGGAGGAGGAGAAGATATCTTTATCGGCTGATAAAGATATTGCAAGGACTCTTAACTTGGACTATACTAGTGAGTCTTACTGGATGGAAATACTGTGAATGACTTAATGGACTGAATGACAATGCTTAAATTCTAACTGGATTAAAAACTATTTAAACTACAAACAGTGTTTGTGTTCAGTGTGTGTATACTCTGGGGCCCTTCCGCTCTCCTTTGGTTGCCTGGCTTGACTACTGCTGCAATACTCTTCTAGGGGTTAATCTCCAAACCCTAACAATGGTTATGGGCCCAGCAGCATAGTCTAACTAACCAGGATATAGCAGAGAGAGTTGGTGTGAGTTGCACATTACTGTAAAAACAAACTGTTTTAATTAGTTTAAAATAGTCAAAATATCTGAAGAGTAATGGCACAAGTAAATTTGTCACAACTGTCCATGATATCCAGGCTGGATGGAACAAACTATGTTTCATGGTCAATGAAATGTAGTTTACTTCTACGCAGAGAAGGTTTGTGGGACATTATAGCAAACCCACCAGATGTGAGTAGCTGGGATCCTGCTAATGATGATGATAAAGAAAAGTTACAAGACTTTAAACTGAAGAATGAGCAGGCTTTATGCATCATAGGACTGACTCTCTGTGATCAGCAGCTTGTCCATATTCGTGGAGAAGAAAATGCTGCAAACTGCTGGGAGAACCTCAGGAAGATTTATGTTCGGGACAGTGTAGGAGCACATATAAATCTTACACGGAAGCTTTTTCGAACGCATCTTCAGAGGAATGGAGATATGTTAGTTCATTTAAACTGTATGAAGAGCATTTTTCAAGATTTGCAAGAAAAAGAGCTTATATTTAATGAACTGCAACAAGTCTACATAATATTATCTTCATTAGATCAAAGCTATGATGACTATGTGACTTCATTAGAGGTATTGCCAAAAGAAAGCCTCTCATTAACCGAGATTACAGGCAGGCTACTAGAAGAAGCCAGAAGAAGGCGTGAGCGTGACGAGCTGAGAGAAGATAAGAAAGAAGAGAAATTATCTTCAAAGCTTGAAAGAAACCAGCAAAGCAAAGTAAAGCACCTGGAAGAAGAGAATTTATCTTCAACAGCATACACAATTAAAAAGTGTTTTAATTGTGGAGGCAGAGGACATTTGGCAAGATTCTGCAAAAAGAGAAAAAGCCAGAATATAAAAAAGCCAAAGAAAGCATTTGAACTAGCCACGTTTAGCAACTCTGATGTGAAGAATAATTTATGGGTGGTTGACAGTGGCGCATCCCACTGCATCACAAGAGATAAGACAAAATTTATAAAAATGTCTACAAGTTCTCAACATATATCTCTTCCTAACGGCTGGAACCTGAAAGCGAAAGGTCAAGGTTTTGCACGTTGTCCGTACATAAACCAGGATATAAAAATGTTGTATGTACCGCAACTAAAGTTTAATTTGCTTTCAGTAAGGGTATTAGATAAATTAGGTTATGTAATTACTTTTAAGGATAATAATTGCATAATTGAAAAAGATAACAAAAGGGTAACTGCAGCTTTAAATGGAACATTATATGTATTAGATAATAGTAAGAAAGGGGAGGCTCAAACTGTATTTAATAATATAAAGCCTCATGAAGAATGTATCCATTTATTGCATAGGCGTTTGGGGCATGTAAATTTTAAAATGCTAAAACGTACAGTTGAGTTATCTGAAGGAATAAGGTTAAAACCTTGTGAAAAATATTTACGTTGTAATGTTTGCTGTGAAGATAAGAGCAAGGTATTGCCTGCAAATAGGCTAAATGGTTTCAAAACAAAAGAACCTTTAGAAATAGTATTTGCAGACATAATAGGTCCAAAGAAACCCAGTATGGGGGGTGCTAGATATATACTGAGCATTATGGACCATTATTCTAGATATGGGTTTTGCTATTTAATGAAAAGCAAAACTGAAACATATCAACATTTTTTCAATTGGCTTAGGTTTGCTGAAAGAAAGTCTAAACGACAACTGATAACCCTGGTGACAGATAATGGCACGGAATTTGTTAATAACAAATTCCAGAACAGACTTAAGGTAGCTGGAATAGAGCATAAGAAGTCTGCTCCATACAGGCCAGAACATAATGCTTTTATTGAAAGAAGAGGCCAAACACTACAGGCAATGGTTAGAACAATGTTAAATGATTCTGGGTTACCTGATTCTTTGTGGGGGGAGGCTACAATGTGTGCTAATAACATATTGAACAACGTTGTTAATACAACAACAGGTGAAATTCCATTCACCAGATGGCATGGCAGGAAACCTGATCTAAGTTACCTGCACACATTTGGTGCACCAGCATGGGTGCATATTCCTGCACAACTCAGAAAAAAAGGGCAACATAGAGCTAAAAGATTTTTCTTCGTTGGTTATCAGGCAAACCATAGGGCATATAGATTTTGGGAGAAAGGCACATCTAAAGTGTTATGTAGTGCTAGTGCCCAATTTCTAGAACATGAAGGATGGGAGAAATTAGAACAGGATGCCAATAAAGATGTAATTATTGAATCCTATAGAAATCCCATTAGTTATCCCTGTAAATTTAAAAATAAAGTAAAGAGACAAATACAGGATGAAATAGTGCCCATAAAGGAAGAAACAGATTCAATAGCTGAACAGGATGAGGAAGATGAACAGGTAGTAGTTCAACAAAGTCCTCCTGTAAGCCCTGTAATTCCCAGAAGAACTACACGTATATCTAGACCGCCTGATAGGTACCAGGCTAACACAGTGTGCCAGATTAATCAAGTTCCTAATTCTGTAGAAGAAATTAAAAAGTATCCTAATAAGGAAAAAGAAAAATGGTATGCAGCAATGAATAAGGAACTAAATTCATTAAGAGATATGAAGGTGTATGAAAATGCCAAATTACCTGTAGGAAAGAAATCCATTGGCTGCAAATGGATATTTAAGGTAAAAATAGATAAAGATGGTAATTTAATCCATAAGGCAAGGTTAGTAGCCCAAGGTTTTAGGCAGAATGCTAATGACTATGATGAGGTGTTTGCACCTAGTCTTAAGGCAGCAACCTTGAGGGCAGCTTTAGTGTGGGCAGCTAGTAAAAACTATATAGTTAACCATCTAGATGTGGAAACTGCTTACTTGCACGCCCCATTAAAACATATTATTTATATGAAAAAACCTGTTGGTATTAAAAGTGAAAATAAGGATAATAATGATTGTTGGTTGTTAAAGAAAAGCCTCTATGGTCTAAAACAATCAGGCTATGAATGGAACCAGTATATTGTAAAGGAACTAGACAATATAGGATTTAAAGCTGGTTTAGCCGATCCATGTCTATTTAAGAGGGAGACAAATGGGAAAGTATCATTATTATTACTATTCACAGATGATATTGCATTGATAACTGAAACTAATGATGAAGCAAATAAAATAATAGCATCATTAGGAAAGAGAATAAAGATCAAGCAATTAGGGGAGATAAAGAAGTATCTCGGTTTGAATATAAAGAAAACACGGAAAGGTTTTAAGATATCTCAGGAAGATAAGATAAGCAAATTGTTAAAAGATTACAAGATGGAGCTTTGTAAGCCGG